GGCTGCATGAACAAGAGGGGTTTTTTAATTAAAAAAACAAGAGGGGCTTTTTTATATTTGGAAATACTGGAATACTGACTCTTCCAGTTAGTATTTTTTGGGGCTTTCCAGATATGACTTACGAGTTTTTGGGAGTTTACTGAAAGGATGGGGTATTACCAGTAATACACGCTCCCTTTCGTTTGAAGTGCTGGTTGTATGGAGCACTTTCAGTTCCGCTTCTTTTGAAGTTACCTATCTTTAAGAAAAATCCTTTCAATTCTCAGTCCAAAACTCCTGAAACTTTTTATGACGTTCACCTGGTGGGTTCCAGAGAACTCATCTGGGAATGGCTGAACATGTTTCATCGTGATCCTGCGATGGGTCAAGGGACTTCATGAGTGTGCAACATCTCTTTCAGAATTATCTGCTTTGATTCTGTAATTTCCTCATGTAAAAAAGATTCACAATCTGAAAGTAAAAATAAAAGAAGTGACACTGCAGTTTTCGCCTGTTATCTCCACTTGTTAAGATAAAGTGTTTTAAGTGATGAAATCTGTTAGATTGATTTTAATTTAGAAGATTATTTGTGTCTTTTGAAGCAAGTTTTTGAAGCTGCATATCGAAGTTGCTTGTATCACTGTTATTTGGAAACAAGCATTGCAGTTCTTTTTTTGCACTGGAATCAAGAGGTGCAATGGTATATTGGAAAAATATTGTCCTGTAATAGAGTTCTTGCATTTTTTTGTAAACTTCTTTTAAAATATTAACTCTCAGTCCTACAAATTGGTAATTCGCTTGGCATATATATAGTTAGCATAGAGATTTACAAAGGTAAAGCTCAGTGGAGATCAGGTGTCTTGGAGCTTGAAGATCATAATAGGTTTGCCTTACCTAGTTTTTGTATTTACTACATGTAGGATCCATTTAGGATCCATTTAGCTCTTCAGGCTAGATTTTTTGAGATATTAATAGACCTCTGTTGATCAGTATATGAAAAGGTTAGGAAATCTGGTTTTCAGGCCATCAAATTTCCCAATAAAATTTGGCTGGCAGCTTGCCACAAGGAGAATTTTGGAATTCAGCTTTTACAGGTGAAAATTTTCCAGTCCTGTTTGTAGGACAGAGGTGTACATAACAGCATGTTCACAACTAATCTATCACAAAAAAAGGCTTTGGTAGTCAGGAAAAGTGGTATGCATTCTGCTTTGAAGCAGCGGTGTGTGCTGGCAGTCGGCTGGGATGGGCTGTGAGGGGCTGTGTTTCTCTCAATGGCAGGTGAGCGCATGGTGTGACTGTGGTTCTTGCATCGCAGAAGTTAAGTGGCTCAGTAGAGATTATGGTCAAGTGTCATTACTTTCTTCTTAGTTATTCAAGATTTCTCTCTGAGGCTGGGATTTATTAGTGACACCCAAGTCCAGAGACGCCCATCTCTGAGTGCTGAACTGGCTGTACCCAATGCTCCCATCCTTGCCGGAGAGGAAGGGAAGTAGCAGCCAGGGTCAGGGCATCCCTTCTGCCTTTCCTGCCTGCAACCCCAGTTACTTGTATACGATTGTTGTTCTTACTGAGTAGCAGAGATGGGTAGAAACAACTCGTACTAGTCCAGGAACCTGCTGTGATCTTTGCTAATCCTCCAACCTAAATTTCTAGCTCTGTTTTTTCCCAAACCCTTCCATTTAAGCATCATCCTAGCCAACCTAGCTGTAGGCCAGAGTCGAATTATGAGCCTCCTAATCCCGATATTGTCCTGTACCCAGTCTCCCTCATTCCCAACATCATTCCCACCTGCAGCCTCCAGTTACCCTGTCAGTCCCTTCAGGCTCTTTTGATATTTTGATCTTTTCTCTCTGCCCATCCTCACAGAACTCATATTTTCCTGGATGTCATGCAAGGCCATAAGACCAGGGGTCTGAGCAAACCAAGATGGTCCACTGAAGGGAGAAACAAAGTGAGGGGCAGTGAGATTTGCTCCAAAACATTGCAAAAATCTTGCAGAGAAGGGTGTTTTCCCGCCTAACTCATGTTATGGCCACTAGTATGGATTTGTACATTTGGTCAGCCTGAAAATGTGTTTAAACACACTTTTGACATAAAGATGTGTTCATGGGCATTTGTAGACTGTATCATATGAAAAATGGACAGTTAGGATAACATTCAGATGCAGATTAAGACACTTGAATGTCTACACCTGTTTGACTAAGACACTTACTTGTCTACATATGTACTAGGTGGTTATGGTCCAATTATGGTCAATGGAGAGACCTCGTCAGCGCTTGCAGTGAATCCTGGAGATGAATTCAGCCCAAGCAGACACCAAATGGCTTGTCAGCTCAATAGCTGTAGGCTCTTAACCACGCTGGCTAAATCATCCTTGAGTATGAGGGAGTTTAGACACCCAAATAGTGTCTTAATCTGGAGCTGAATCCTTCCCTCAAGGTACAAGTCATTTGGTTGCACAAAGATCCCTTTTAAACTATTTAAACAGATTACAGAATGTATTTGTTTATACAGCATACACTCTATGGCATTTAATATGTACTTAACTGCTCTTCTTGTAATCCAGCCTTTTTTAGATCTATCTTTTGGGTTCTGCCACTGCTCCTTGTTCTGTCTCCAGTGAATTCATCTAGTTGTGCAATGGGAAATAAAACAACTGAAATCCGTGTGAAGTATGAGAATATACTAAGCCACGACATCGATGAGCTGGTAGGTAATAGCTCTTGGGCTTTCAAAAAGTGTTTATTATTTTTAGATGATAGCAAATAATAGTTAAAAAAAGCTCTAATGTTAACATACGATAAAAGACCAATTTTAAATCGCACATTATTCTGGAATGGTGGCTTTATTTGAGGGGGGTGCGACAATTCAGTCTCTTTAAATTCTCTGAAATCTGTGGATGCTGCCTATTTGCTTGTACAAATACTGTGATACAGGTATTTGTGCCTGTGCACCATGTAGTTAGATATATGTACCATTTAGCCCTTAATAGTATAATATATTACATTAAAAAGTACTCTTTTCTGAAGTAGTTTCATGACTGCTTCTGTTTATATCTTCTTATCAAGAGAAGAAAGCATTACACAGCTTGTAATTTAGTCTACTAATTGTAGACTTATTGACTGAAGTTTTATGTTGTCCATTGAACACAAATACACAGAGGCACAAAATTCATACAGCCATAAAAGTTTCTTTGTATTTTATCTATTAATATGTCTTGTTTAGCCAGCAAAGAATCAACTTTTCTAGATGGCAGCAGAGAAAAACTTAACTTTCTTGGTAGTAAATCTCCTCCATTATGACTTTATGAGCCAGATCTATCACAGCTTTGCGAAACAGTATCATAACAGTTTACCAATCCATGCCCCAAAACCTACCTTCCAACTCTTCATCATGAATTATTAACAATAAAGTCATATGTCAAGAACATTTTCATGGGAGAAAGCACTTTCCATAGTTTTTTTTTTTTCCTACGAAAATGGGATTTTTCTGACAGTTTGTCACTAAATGAGAACTCACCGTTCTGTTGCAGTCTTAAATCAAGATCTTTTGCATGAAATGCAAGTGCTATACAGTGCTTTTCCAATGGTGAAATCAGGAACCATTGTATTTCTTTATACTTAATATCCACCACCATCCTTCAGAGCATTATGTCAGTGGTTTCCAACCTCCCTCTACCATGACACATCAGTCCTCACCTGGAAACAAAATACCTTTAGGCTCGGGGAACGATCATTTAAACTTCAAAAACATTCTGATCATGTTGTGTTTGTTGAGATTATGAAGAGAGAAAGGTACTTCTCCATAGATAAATGACCTTATCCTGAACAAGGCACCAAAGGTGGGGAACATATGCATGGCCATATTAGAACAGATAAGTAGCCCCTTTAGTTTTTCATCTTATTTTTGACAAAGACAAGTGTTTCCTAGAGAACAAAAATAAACCCTCTTGGTGAGCAGTTAGAAGATAGCTGACCTATAAGAGGAAACAATGTGACAGGAATAACAGCCTGTGGGAGACAGATCCTGCTGTCTTCTTGTGGTGGAGAACCATGAGGCGCATCCCAGCTCTGCTGGAGCTGCAAGGTCAGGGAAGCTGGGGGGTTGTCCTGGGCTGGAGGTGCCAATGCCTTGCCACTGCCCAATTGCAGGATGAAGCTTGATGCACTTGGTGCCCCAGGGTGCCATCAAGGATTAGAATGGAGCAATGCCATTCTTCCAGATACGTTTTGAAAGTCTTTATCTTTTTTATTGTAATAAATATTATAGAGTTTTTTAGGAGACAGATGGAGTTTTTTAGGAGGCTGCATGAGAACTAAAACTGTTATCCAATTAAATAAATAAATAAATAAAACCTTAATGAATTAATGTTTGTGAAGGGTAATGGGCATGTACTGAATTCTGAAGCTTTTACTTCCTAGAATGGGCACGCACAAGCAGCTACTGTGCAAGTTTCTTCATTTTCCTGTCTTTATTTTTCCCAGTTTAAGAGAGATTCATTTGCCTTCTCTGTAAAATCAGTGTATAGTCTTGTCACTATAACTTAACAGCAAATATTATGGACCGTGCTGTTTGGGTGATAGCAACTGGCCACTATGCACTTTCTTGCAATTGCAGAGCCAAAGTTAGTAACTTTCAGTCCCTCAGCCTGATGTTTGGAGGCAGTTATGGAGATGACTAGTGGGTTATATACTAGACCTCTGTAAGTTAATTTGATTTTCACTAATGCCTTTTCTGAGGCCAGGATTTCCTTTAGGTTGCTTTAGTCACAGCCAATAAACTGCCTTCAGAAATGGTTACCGTGTGTTATACTAAAGATGATCTGAGGAAGTCAGTGAAAATGGGTAAATCCCTTAGCAGTTAGCAAATGAAGCCACAGATATGTAGGTTTCAGCATTATTTATTTTTTTATATATATATATTTAAATCTTGGTGCTGTGTGACTGCAGCAAACCTTCATTCTGTTGTGGTACAAGCAGAGGTGTGCATTATCTTCCAAATGTTTTTGGGGTTTTTTTTGCCAGTGAATATTTGACTCCTTAAACTCTTGGTTTTGAAAGCACTTGCTGGATGAAATTCTGTTCATCTTGGGTAAACTTCTGAAATACAGGCAACGTTACAAAAAAATACGCAGAAAAACTTTGAGAATTAAGCTGTCTAATGTGTTAATATGCATGCCTAAGTGAGGAGATCTAACACAATATTGTCATGAGCTGCCTTTTTTAAAGCCCTTCTGGTTGCATTAGGTTATCTGGATACAGGCTGAAGAAGAAAGCGAAAGAATTTTGTTGAGTTGGGTTCAGTTGTCATCTCGATGACAAGCGTGAAAGTAGAAGAAAAAAAAAAAGAGAGGATAAACCATTGATAAAAGATTATGGTCACGCAAAGGGAGCAAGTGATATTGCTTAGGACATCTTCTGTTAGTGCATATGCAAAGTGAGTGTTACAATCTGTTTACATGCCTGAGGCATGTATTTATTGAGACAAACATTGACAAACATTGTATTTGATGTCTGTGTAAGATTTAAATATTCCTGTATGGTTTAAAATGCCAAAGAACCAAGTAATTTGATAGAATATGAAGGTTTAAAATGAATAGATTTATGTACAGTTTTGGGCTCCCCAGTACGAGAGAAATACAGAGCTACTGGAGAGAACCCAGCAAAGGGCCATGAAGATGATGAAGGGACTGGAGCACGTCTCCTGTGAGGAAAGGCTGAGGGAGCTGGGACTGTTCACCCTGGAGAAGAGAAGGCTCAGGGGGATCCCATCAATGTGTAGAAATACCTGAAGAGAGGGTGCAAAGAGGACAGAGCGAGGCTCTTCTCAGTGGTGCCCAGTGACAGGACCAGAGGCAATGGGCACACACTGAAACACGGGAGGTTCCCTCTGAACATCAGGAAACACTTTTTCACTGTGGGGGTGACCGAGCACTGGCACAGGTTGCCCAGGGAGGTTGTGGAGTCTCTCTCCTTGGAGATACTCAAAAGCTGCCTGGACATGGTCCTGGGCGACCTGCTGTAGGTGGCCCTGCTTGAGCAGGGGAGTGGGACCAGGTGACCTCCAGAGATCCCTTCCAACCTCAATCATTCTGTGATTCTATGTGATTCTATGAATACCTTTAGAAATTGTAGCTGGATTGGGGTTTTCTTTGCCTGCTTGCCACGGAAAAGCTCGGAATTGTACACTGACTCTGCGACACCTCAGGAGATGCTGCAGAACAATTTAGTGTTGACATTGCCAGCTGTTAGTGAGAAACTTGGCTCACTTGATTAAAAGTACTTCCATGTTTAAACATATATGATATTTTACAGGTAAATATGTCTGCAGAATATCGTGACAGGTGCTGCAAGAATAAAAAACATGAAAATAGCAAAGTGTTTTTCTGCAATGATACTCAGGTAAAGTTTAACTTCTCAGAATTTACTTTAGAGAATACAAAATCAGATGGGTTCTTTGTACAGTCCAGTCCCTGAATAACATATTGTGATAGAGAGTAATATAACCTTTTAGTAGTCAAATCATGATTTTTTAAAAATTTGGAATCACACAATTTGTCAAGTAAATTGATATTTTAAAAATTAAAATATTAAGCAATTCCATATCCAAGAAATGCTTTTTTTTTTCTCCTGTAAAGATTCTTTTATATTTTTAATCCAGAATAGTACAGAAAACTTATTTTATTTTGCCATGTAAGTAAACATAAAAATTTCGCAACATCTGTTTTCATTTTTCTACAGAAAATATTAGCTAAGCTTTTCACTTCAGATCTGAAAGCTTTAAAAGTAATAGTTTGGGCAGATCTCAAATGACAGAAAGCACAATTGTCAGCCGTTCCTGCAAATTTCGTCATGACTTGATAAAAAGACAGACTCCAAAAATCATTCACTGTTTTCCTAACTGCAGCAGCTGATTTCATTACGGCTATGATTTCTCCCTAACATCCTTACGCTATGATTATTACTACTACAAATTGATACATTAAATATTTTGAAGAGATGGCAGGTAGGTCAGATTAGTCATGGAAAAGATTGGCACTATGAAAGCAAAAGAAACTAATGGTAACTGGTGGAGCTGGTTTTTTTTGAGACAAACTAACATTATAAAGAATTAATGGTGCACAGACTTTTCAGGACATATTTTTCTTGCTGTCTTCACAGGAAATAGAATCACTACAGAGTATGGCATGCAACATGCTCAGGTTCTTTCATAAGCAAAAAATCAGCAAAGACTTTAGATGGAAAGCAGCATTAGTTTCATGTGGGACATTACAGGTTCTACAGTGCAAATGTGAACGACATAAAAAAGAAAAGGTGAGTGGTAGTGGTGGTCTACAGTTTATTGGAAGTATGTGACTTATTCCTTACAGCTCTTCAACACAGACTATCATATCTACCTCTCAAAGGTACAACTATCATGCACGTATTATACACATGACAAATTTTGCTCTGTGTAGCATATGTCTTGCAGTAGACATTAAGCCCAGTGCAAAGGCTAAGTAAGACAATGATCTGGAAGTCTATAGTGAAGATACATACTCTGGTCCAGTCTGAAATACCTGAGTTAATTCTCCAGTAAAAGACAAAGACCACACTTGTGTGAAGAAGGCCTTTAACTTCTCTAGTGTATAAAATCATAGTTGTTACTTCTCATTGGGGTTCTACTCTAAGATTAATGTTTAATTTGGTTTGTTTCAACAAACAATTAGTGGTCCTTTCCTTATCCCTTTGATCTTTATTTTAACCAGAATATCTCAAACTGAAGAAGAACAGTTAGATATGAAAATATTTGGATTTTTAATCATTGGCAGAATCTGCTCTTTGATGTGTCACTCATATCTAGTGCAATGATCTACAGACTACCATAACAAAGAAAGAGCGTTCTTTTAAGTGTGGCTCACAGTTACCTACTGAACACAAAAATATTGACCACATGAAAAAGCCTCCCCATAGGCACCAAAGGATATAATTCTTTATGATTGGCTTAAATAGTTGGATTGAAGGCTGCATTTAACTCATTCTTTTTCTCCTTGAAATGGAGAAACTCTTATAATCTAGGACCAGATCTTCAAAGTAATGTTGGTGTCTATATTTTGTTTAGCCACCTGTGGTGAATCCAACATTTGCCTTACCATAAGAGGTATCCCAGTTAAGTCATAGAAGTCAAAGAGTGTCACTCTTGAAACTACTACCTAACCTTGTGGATGCCTGGTTTTACTTAAAGACCAATTAAAGTAATTTGGTAAAAATAATGATCAGTCATTGAATATGGACAAGAACCACGGTCTTGGTGTTTCTGGGTGAGATCCTGAATACTAGGCCACAGCACCAACCCCTGGGAACAGGTCTGTCTTGTTCCACCAGCCTGAAGGTACCATGCTTGTAGTCATATCTTTTAAAGTTTGGCTCACAATTTAATTGGCTTTATTTTTCCAGTCCTCCAAATAATGGAGGATAAATTTTAAACCACTGACAGAGGACGTACATGTTCTCAGTTGCACACGCTGGTTTCAGCTGTCCATATTTGTTGTGTGTTAAAGCCGCATTCTCCCAGTCCAGCGGGCAGGGGCGGCAGCAGGGCTGTGCTCAGAGGGAGAACATCAGAGCGATGCAGGCCATGTACCGCCACGGCACGTTTTGTGAATAGCCCAGCTTTCTGGCTTAATTACCATGTAAGGTACATCCATTATTTATTGAGATGTAATGGAATCAGTTTGTTTTAAAAGAAGTCTATATGAAAAGAATAAGGACTGCTCAATTAACAATACAGACTATTCTTTTTCAGGTTTGCACGCAGGTAAATACACATAATAAAGAAGATACAGAAACAGGTGAACAGTCCAAAAAGAAATGTAACCAAGAATTTTGTGAACTGAAAGAAAATATATCTAGCCTTCGATCCTGCTGGAATAAATTTGAAAAAATAATTTCCAGGTGATTCCAGGTGAATCCTGCTCTTTTCTTTCAAAGTGGCATTACTTGGTATCTTTGCATTTTATATGCATTCTTCAAGTAACTCTGCTCGTTTATATGAATACTTTATGCCAGAATTCTGATGGAAAGCTACTGTACCTTGTTCCTGGAGACAGAATAAATAGAAACGGCTAAACCAAGCTGTTGAAGTCCAAGAAGTGGAAATAAAAGACCAGCGTTTGAAACAAAGAATTCTGCAGAAAGCTGTGTCCCACCTTTGTGCTCTGGAAATTACTTTGAATTTTCTGATCTTTCGAGTAACTTTATAATACTGTCATATGAAAGCAATCTACTTGCGTGTCTACTGCAACTTATAAAAACATTTTACAAGCTGCAGGTGAAGAAAACAGTCTGGAAAAGTAGCTGGTTTCTTTACGTAAAATGCATCAAGGACCAAAAGGAACAATTTAGCAAACAAGCAGCAGATCTTGGGTCTGTTCTGCTGATGCAATAATGTTTTCAGCGTGGGTATCTAATGGGTCTGCAAACTGATTTAGGTTTGGAAAAATAGGGAAAAGGTTAACTTTTTGAAAGACTTAGGAAGGGTACCGATTTTTGAGAGATGTAGCACACTTCTGCTGGCTGAAGTAGAGGCAAGACAGCGATGGAAGGCGAAAAAGGAGATGCCGGAATGTAAATTTGTTCAGCTGACTGGAAACAGCACTAGCCTTATGTATTTGGTTATCCTAGAGTTAGCTGCAGGAGGAGCTAGAATTTCTTGCCTTCAGATTGTGATTTCTTATATGCAATTATTTTCTATAACGTGTTTAACATGTTAGACAAACGTGACTTAAAATGTGTGAATATTTTCAGAGAATAATATATTGGCATTTAACTAATAAAGTGTTCATATTTAATTTTGGATAAATATTTTTATAGTTGTTTATAACTCCTTTGCAGTTTCTTACTTTGATATTATAACTCCTTTGGTAATAAAATATTTGTCTTCTATGGAATTGGGCTGTTGACTTTTTGGGTTTAGCTTTTTTTCACAGCTAGTCATTAAAAGCACAGCTGGTAATGTAACCTCCAGCTGCTTGGGACTTCCCATTATAAAATACTTACTTCTTAGTTGCTTGTAAACTGGCCAGTTCAGGTAAACATTTCCATACCAAGTATCTGCTTTGGGAAATCTTTAGTTAAGTCAGCCTGTTGTTTCCTGGTTCAGAGTAAGCTAACATATATTGTTTTATCTGTGCTAAAAGAAATTTTCTGTGGAACTACTCTGAAAAATTTTTGGTATTCAGAACAAAGACCTGAAAAAATGGTGGGATGTGCTTCAAAGAACTCTATAGATCTCCTTTGACTGGAATAAGATCTGCTGTACTGAATCCATGAAACCCAGTGTACCCTACTGCTAATGGTGAGGGAAGAGGTTAAGAGCAAAGCAAACGTACTGTTACGCTTTCCTGGAATATACACCCTCCGATCCCGCATCTATTTATGGTGACTTCTTGAGGTAGGAGTAGTTATCTTTGTAAAACTGTGATTGAGACTTTCACATATTCTCTTTAGTTCTTGATGTAAGACATTGCAACTTTAACTTCAAACACTGAAAAAACACCCCAAACCCAACCCATATCTCTTTTATGTAATAGGAAAGGGAAACAGATTTCCCAATATCATACTGCAAATAAGAGAATTTAACCAGTATTGTAAGGACTTCTCTGGAAATCACTTCTACTGAAAGAAGTCCCAGGAGACTGAGCATTAAATTTGTCTCTGAGACTGAAGAACAGTTGAAAGCCAAGATTTATTTCCTAATAACCACGTGGCAAGGAAAGGTCAGTGGGAATTAAAAGAAAAACACACAGCTGCAATATTAGCTACTACAAAACTGGAAGTTCAGTCAGCTTAAATGACTGAAGCAGCAGCCCACAACTTAAATCTTAAGGCAAATCAAGCAGTTTCAGGCCTATCTTGGCGAAAAGACCAAGGTTAGATCCAGAGCAGAAATTTAAATTGAGTGATTATGAAGTTGTGGGGTTTTTCTGATTGCTTCTCTTAATAAATATCCTGCCTGCCTGATTCTTGTTGCCAAATTTCCTGAGTCACCACTTACATGCAAAGACTAATTGCTAAACGCAGTGACTTGTGCTCTTTGATTTGTTCCTTCCATTTGAGAACCTTCTCCGGTCTCTCTTGAAATTACAAATGTGACAACAATAAACTGCTCTGCAGGAATGGGCGAAGGGATGAAAACCTTGCAGGGTATCACCACCACGCCTACCTCCCTGCCACTTTCATTTATGTACGTATTTATTTATTTGGCCACAGCAAAGAAGGGATATGAATAGGTCAAAACCATGATTTAGAAATACATGGAATTATGGGAAGGTGTCAAGGGAAAATAACTTAGGTATTTAAATTAGTAAAAAGAATTTTAGCACTGTTGTTGCAAGAGATTATGAGAAAGCAGAAAGGGGTGACTAACCCCTGTGAGCAAGATAATGTTGCACATTTCGAACAGCAAGAATGAGTTAGGTGCTCATATAGTTTATAATGAGAAGGAAGAATTTCTGGTGTTTAGGAACCCAGATCAAGGAAGGCCCCTGGAAGAGAATGTTCAAATCTCACTTCACATCATCAAACAGGTGTTTACAGCTGTGGTTCTTTAGCTAGATGCAGGAGTAAACCTTTCCTGGCTGGTTATATGTTTCCTTCCAGTTCCATCTCTTCAGCTTTGTGCTGAGCAAAAGAGATGTTGGCTTTATGATAGGTTTCATTCAGGAGCTACTTAGATTTTTGTTGTGTGGTTTGTTTTTTTTTTTTTTTCCCTCCTGCTATCTGATTGGAATGGTTCATGGTGAACTAGAATAAAGAGGAAACCAGCATGAGGAATATCATGGAATCTCAGCAGAGACAAGAGATTTTGCAGACTCTTGGCAGAGAAATGAATTTCATTCAGAATGAAGGAAAAATGTATCTGCCTTCCTCTGAAGAGGGTGGGGTGAAGTAAACAGAAGAGCCCAGTAGGAGGAACTTTCCTCTAAAAAGAGGAAAGAAAAGAGGAATTGGTCTCTACTCATCTGTATTTAGCCAAAAAAATCAGGAACCCAAACCCTTATTATGATTTCTGCTCACATAAGTGAACTTCACAGGAAAAATATAACTTCTGCTTTTTTTCCGGCTAATCATTTAATCAACAAAACAGTGCTCTAACCTCATGAAGGAGAACAAACACAGATCAAGCTTAGGTTATACATTATGCCTTATGGTCGTCTTAAAAAAAAAAAAAAGAAAAAAGAATTATTTACTATAGGTAACACAGTGATAGGCTCTATATAAACTAAACTCTCCATATAATTGGGAAAAAGAAGAGATACAGAGTTAACTTTATATAAGCAGATCACACTGATTTAAATATCTGGTACAGAGTATTTTTCAAGGTGTCGGAGGAATCCAAAGCTCATCTCGCAAGTCAATTAAAAAAACCTATCCTTTGAAAAGGGTAACTAAGTGATTCTCTCCTAACCACTAGGAGAAGACAATGGATGATCCTCACATCAGGTCTGGTGTACTTGAGACGAAGACATCACAATATTCATAAGGTTGAAGTGATCTTACCTATCCCTATCCTATTTTATTTAAGACAATTTGGCTACAAAAATGTGTGCATCACAGAAAGTTTTATTGGCATATTCGCTTTATTGTTAACAAGTGGCAAATTAGCATTAGGTGGTGATTTACATTTATTAATAAAAGCAGAACTGACACTTTAAAACAAACATAATATACCAAATAAGATGCAACCAAAGCCAGGAATTCTGCAGAAAACCACTGGATGGCCACAAACACAAATATTCAATGCACTGAGGGGCAAGGCAAACATAATAAATGTAATGCTGACAAAATTAATCACGTCAAACACATGAATGAACACTTCATTTAAAAACATGGAACATCAATAAATAAACTTGTGAAGATACATACTAAGTATCATATGAAGGATGAACACCAAGAGTTAGAGCAATCATATAAAGTAGGTATTTTAAAAGCCATAGAATACTCAGCACTTTACAGATCAGACCCAAATCCATTCACGCTTCTGCCAGAAATCCAAATACAAATATAGAACTATGGTAAACCATACACTACTATTTAGAACTTACGTTCAATATTCATCTATATTAAACTGAATATTTGATTTGCTGACTCAAAAACTAATGTGCACATTGGAGAAATATGATTTCCCTATTGATTATTTTTTGTAAAGAAGAAACACTAATTAAGAGAAAATCTGAATAAGCTCTTTTCTGGCAACATGAAATGGAATGGGGCTAAGTAGGATTCTCCAGAAACGTGTATTGTGGAATGACACAACAAAAAAACCAAAACTCACCGAACTAGTATGCAAGAGTAATCTCTTATATTGTGAATATTGGAAAGAAAATATCAACCAAGTAACTGCGGAATACAGCTAGAGAATCTTTTACCTAACATTTCTTCCAACAACACAATTAGGTAACTTAAACCTTATTCAGCGAGTTGGGAAAAAAAAAAGCAACAAAACCATCACAAGTTGCAATGAGCTGTACTTGAAAGGCAATAAAACTATTTTCACCAGAGTCACCAAAACCAATTTCACCAAAGATGAAAATTCTACCCTGTCATACAACCCATACAATTATTCATAGCTTAGTCAAACTGAAAAGAATTAAAGTTGCAAAAAGTGCTCTTACAAAACACAAATTTGTCAGCCAAGATTAAAAAAAACTTGTAACAAGTTTTTGCACATATACAAAGTCTATGTGATGGAAACTAGCACTTCTTGGGAACTCTGCAATACATAAACAATACTATTTCATTTTATACTCAGACTAATTACATAGCCTACATCAGTGTGCACTGCTACATGCCTTGTTTATTAGTGTTTAAACTACTGCAATCGTATCTCCTTCCACTGATTTGATAAGCGTGCATCATGAAACCGTTCTCTTTGCACACTGCATTTCAGGCACTAAC